AGGCCTCTAGGCAAGGAAGGAATTCTGCTGTATGAATTCACAACACAGACAAAACAGAGAGGATTCTGAAACAAGCAACTTCAAGAGATGGAGAGATGGCTCAGAGCTAAGAGCACTTAGAGTCTTTGCAGAGGACCCTAGTAGCTATCAGCACCACGTTAGGCAGCTCACAGGCCTTAACTCTAGCTCCAGGAGATCTGACACCCTCTTCTGGCTTCTATGTTCTGGCACCTGCATTCCTGTGCAGATACACACACACACACATCTTTTTTTATGCCTTTAATCTCATCACTTGGGAGGCAGAGGCAGGCGGATCTCTGTGAGTTCGAGGCCAGTCTGGTCTACAAGAGCTAGTTCCAGGACAGGTTCTAAAGCTACAGAGAAACCCTCAAAAAACTAAAAATAAAATTAAATAAAATAAACCCACAAGAAAAATATTCACGATTAGTGTTATAAGGAAAGTCTCCAGCCAGTAAATGTGGAAGGAATAACGGAGTCAGAAAAATCACCATTGGACAAACACTTGTGGTAAGTGTGCTAGGGAAAAGACATCAACCATTAAAATTAACAGATGAAAATATCACGAGTAACAGAAGAGTCACGATCTTGCTTAGTGTAATATTTGGACATGATAAAGAATGACAGAATGCTTAGAAATCTGAGAAAATATGTCTTCAAAATGTTCTCATGTGGTCTCGTTCAGTTAAAAGAAGACATGTTTACTGTGTATCTTAGCCTGTTTGGGGTTGTATCAGAACACCATAGACCCGGAGCAGAAACAACGTGTGTTCATTTCCCACAGCTCCAGGGCCTGGGAAATACAAGATCAAAGCGTTGATAGAAGTGGTGTCTGGTGAGGGCCCATTTCCTGCTTTACAGATGTTGCAAACATGGAACTCCAGCCTCTTCCTCTTCTTATAAGGGCATTTATCTGGGGCGGGTGGGGGAGAGAGGGTATCTGTCCTCATGACCTCATCTATATTCCCCCAATGCTAGTCCCTTAGTGTTAGGGCTTTAGCAGCATATGTGTTTGGTGGACACATACGTTCAGTCTATGATAACCTATAGCAGCAACCAGTAAAGAAGAGTGTGTGTGTGTGTGTGTGTGTTTATGTACACGTGTGTATGAGTCTGTGGTTTCTAGCTTCTAATATATAACCTAATATTCTAATATTCATTTATTCTATGATTCTGGAATGATGTCATTTTATTGCTTTGAGATTCTAGGACTCCAAATAAATGTTTTTTTTTTTTAATCTTAAAATGCTATCATTCTTTTATTCGGATTTCAGAATTCAAAGATGCCCTTATCCTGCTTTCTTTTATTCCTATGTCTGATCTCACGGCAGCCTCCTCAGAAGTCCTGTGAGTCCTCCAAGGCCTACATTGCTCCATCACTGAAGGCTTGTGACTGCGCCCCATGGTCCCCTGGTTGGTAGTGGAAGAAGGAAAGAGCCCAGTATTTCTTGATAAAGTGTGAAGCTGGGTAGGCACCTTTGATGTAGCAGGGAAGGTCTACCCTCCAGGATATTGTAAGAACTGATTATTGGGTGTCAAATATGATCATGCTCTTGAGTTGACATATGCTTTTTCCCTTTAATCTGTTGTGGGCAGAATTATATCTACACATTTCTTCTATGAAACCAGTGCTCAGTCCTAGAATGAACACTACCAATTATTAGACTTTTACATGTATTTATTTATTTTGAGTGTGCGTGTGTGTGCATGAATGTGCCATAGCATGTATGTGGAGGTTGGAGCGCAACCTCTCGAACAGATCCCTCACCAGGTAAGCTGTACCGGGGCAAACTGGAATAAGAGGAAAATGCTCAATATAGTATGTTGCAGAGACTTGCAAATTAAAGCAACAATGAAACCAAAATACAGACAGCCCAAATACCAGCAAGGAGTGGAGAGACAGGAGTTCTCATTTGTTAATACTGAGAACCCAACACCAATGCAACCACAGTGAAAGACAGTTTGCTTTGTTACAAAACTAACCATCCTTGGGCTGTTTGCTCACAATCCCCGCTACTTGATAATCACCCAAAGGTGTTCAAAGCTTTTGTCAGTAGAAAAACATACACACTGTTCTAGCAGCTTTTTTTTAAAAAAATAATTCTACAAACATTGAAGCAATCAGCATGCCATTCATTAGGTGAATGCATCAATAAATGTCCATATAAAGAAATATTACTTAGTCCAGAAAAAAAATGAGATACCAAGCCATGGAAATATAGGAAGGGTCCTTAGGGCTTATTACTGAGTCAGAGATAATCTGAAACACTGCTTACTGTTCGACCTTACCTGTATCCTGAAGGATGGAATCTTGACGTGACCTTGTCTCCTCCTTAAGGGCTAATCCAGTGGGACAGGTTAGGGGCCTGACGAGGGGACCACTAGAGAGAAGGCTTGTTCACCTTACCACAATGTGCTCTTTCCTCCCGGAATTCTGACCTCCCAGTGCAGTTCCCTTGCTGTGCAAGCGTGAGGACGTGACTTCACGTCCTGGGCAGCGAAGTAAAATCAGGGTGTGGACCGGTGAGCACCTGAAACCGCCCCCCACTGTGAGGGGCGGAGCCAGGAGAACTGCAGGGGTTTGCTGGTCAATCAGCCTAGCTCCAGTTCAGTGAGAAGCCTTGTCTCAAGAGAAAAAGGTAGAGGTTGACAGAGCAGGACAGCCAATGTCCTCTCCTGGACGTGTACGTACGTATCACATACGTACACAAATTAACTTAATTAAAAGTAAAGAAACAAGCCAGGCGGTGGTGGCACACGCCTTTAATCCCAGCACTCAGGAGGCAGAGGCAGGCGGATTTTTTGGTTTGAGGCCAAACCAAATAAATAAATAAAATAAAAAGTAAAGAAATCGCAGAAATTTTTAGATTTTTTTTTTTTGAGACAGAGTTTTTCTGTTGTTTTGGAGGTCTTGTAGACCAGGCTGGCCTCGAACTCACAGAGATCTGCCTGCCTCCGCCTCCCGAGTGCTGGGATTTAAGGCGTGCGCCACCACTAACCCGGCTAGAAAATGATTTTTTTTTAAAAAAAAAAAAAATGAGGAAGCAAAGGCAAAGGGTCTCCTGGAGCAGGCTTCAGAGTCTTCAGAATCTGCGAGACTCTGCCTGCGGGACTCCTGGACGGGCCTTTTGAATATTAACAGTGGCCGCTGAAAGAGCCGCTGTCCTATGCCTGGTGCCCCCGCTAATGATCTCCAGTGAACCGTGTCATTTTAGTTTTCACAATAACTCCGCAAGTTCAGAGTAGATACCCTCGTTCTGAGACAACATTAGGGTCAAAAGGTTCCAGGATTTGTTTCTGGCCTTGCAGCCAGAAGTCCCGAAGCCAGGATGCAAACCCCTGAATAGCTGATTGGACTGCTCACAGGCTTCTGCTGGGAGCACTAGCTCCTCTCATGAAACCTGAGGCACCTATTACCTCCTCCCTTCCTCTCCAGGGGGCTGCAGCCAGAGACAACCCAAGCCACAAAGAGAATATCAGAGCCAAACTAGATCCGTTAGACCCCCATGTCTGATCCACTCCTAAATACAAAGTAAGGCAGGAACACAACAGAGAATCCCTTTAGGGAAGGTCTTGCTCTTTCCTGGGGAACTCTCTGCCACCCCACCGCCCCCTCCTTAGGCCCCATTCCAGAATCTTCTTTCCTCGTCCTCTGCCCCCCCCCCCACCCGTGTAGTCTCTGGGCTGAAGAAGAATGAGTCTTTCTCTGAGAGGGTAGAGAGCACAGTTTCCTGAGGATTGTGCAGCCAGGGCACAACTAGGCTTGCATCTCCCGATCTCATACACCTGGGGAAGCCCTGCGTATAGACGGGGGTGGTGTAGGTCAGGAGCCAGCAGCACTGAGTGTAAGTACTGCCTGGTGACTGGCCACTAACAGCAGCTTCCTTTTTAAAAGTATCTGCTCAGGGCCTGCAGAGATAGCTGTGTGGTTAAAAACTTGTGATGCTTCAGAGGACCCAAGTTGGATCCCAGCACCCCCACAGGCTGGGATGGAAGTTCGTAAGAGTAACTCTAACCGGACTCCCCTGGCCCTCTGACCTCAACAAGCTCCCGTACCCACAGACACAAGCACATAATTAAAAGTAAAATAAAAAAATTTAAAACGAACAAAAGCATCTATTCTGAGACAGACATTTCATTGGGAGGGGGGTTCTTATACGTTTTAATTTAATGTTCTCACTCTTTCAGTGGTCGGGCCTATTTTTACCAAAGAGGAGACTCGGATCCAGGATGAGAAGCCAGCAACCCAAGGACAGCAAGTCCTCAGGAGCTTGGGACTTGAACCTACCAAGGACCCAGTTCTGTCGTTGCCTAGGAACAGAGGAGGGAGGAGCTGCTGGAGAGAAGGGAGGAGGGGACAGGGAGAGGGCAACCTCTCAGCAGCGCGCGCTGACGACAGCAGGTGATTTTTTTCTGCAGCGCGCACACTCTCAGCATCTTTTCTTGATCACCCCCCACCCCTTGCAGAAAAGGGTGGGGCCGGCTCTCTGCAGCAGAGACGGCGTCGGCGGCTGCGGCATCACCAGGGGTATCGAGACGGCAGAGGCAGCTGGGCTCTCTGCTCTGTCTGGGTTGGAGGTGACCGCTGCCTAGCCCTACTAGGCGGCCCACTTGAACCAGACATAAAGGAGACATGAGCCTGTTTGCGGATCCTGCCCAGTCCTCTCTCTGCGCCATGGCTTAAGCCCACAGCCTCCCTGCCAAGCATCTCCTCACTCGGCCGGGGTCTCCACGACACCATAGCCGCAGGGAGGGCGCGCCCAGACGCTCTAGGCCTGGATTCTGGAACGCCGAGCCTCGCTCCCATCTGTCGCCGGCTACAGCAGGTTCTCTGCCGAAGGCGTTTGCAGCCGGTAATCGAGGGATTTTGCGGACTTTATTTCAGCAGTACCTCGTCCCTGGGTGCTCTTTGAGGGAGGAGGAAGAGGCAAACGGGCTGCTAAGGGGAGGAAGCAGTGGGAACCACATTGGCGGGACTGGGTTGGGGTTAAAGGGAGACTGGAGGTTTGATTTAGGACGACTAAAAGAGAGAGACGGCCGGTTTTGCACCTAGCATCATCATGGCGTGGCCGTGCATCACAAGGGCCTGCTGCATTGCCCGCTTCTGGAACCAGCTGGACAAGGCGGACATTGCAGTGCCGTTGGTTTTCACCAAGTACTCGGAGGCCACCGAGCATCCAGGAGCCCCGCCGCAGCCGCTAGCGCCGCTGCAGTCAGCGATAGCGCCCCCGCCGCGCGCTGTCGCCATAGAGACGCAGCCGGCCCAGGGCGAGTCGGATGTAGTTGCCCGGGCAACAGGGCCAGCGCCCGGGCCCAGCGGCGACCGCGAGACTGCAACCGCCCCCGGCCGGAGCGGGCTGGGTCTGGGCGCGGCCTCTGGCTCCACTTCCGGCTCAGGCCCCGCGGATTCGGTGATGCGACAGGACTACCGCGCTTGGAAGGTGCAGCGGCCAGAACCCAGCTGCCGGCCGCGCAGCGAGTACCAGCCCTCCGACGCGCCTTTCGAGCGCGAGACCCAGTACCAGAAGGACTTTCGCGCCTGGCCACTGCCCCGCCGCGGAGACCACCCCTGGATCCCCAAGCCGGTGCAGATCCCTTCGACCTCGCAACCTTCCCAGTCTATTCTTGGGGTACCCAAGCGTCGGCCGCAGAGTCAAGAGCGCGGGGCCATGCAGACCTCTGCCGAAGCCCGGGACCCGGAAGGCGCTGGAGGAGCCGGGGTGCCGGCGGCGGGAAAGGCGTCCGGTATAGACCAGCGCGACACACGCAGAAAGGCTGGGCCCGCGTGGATGGTGACTCGCAACGAAGGGCATGAGGAGTCGCCTCTGCCCCCGGCCCAGTCCCTGACCCAGGAGGGCGGCCCTGCAGCTGGAAAGGCCTCTGGTGCAGACCCCCGCGATACACGCAGGAGGGCCGGGCCCTCGTGGATGGTGACTCGCACCGAAGGGCATGAGGAGTCGCCTCTGCCCCCGGCCCAGTCCCTGACCCAGGAGGGCGGCCCTGCAGCTGGAAAGGCCTCTGGTGCAGACCCCCGCGATACACGCA